AGAATAAACCAGGCACTGTGAGAAGTCCCAGTCTGTAGCTACCGGGCGAGCTTCGAGACAAATGTACCTAAGTGTTGGGCCAGTGGATAAAAGCATCTCTGTCATTTAGGATCTCAGTGGCTCTCCACTTGTTGTTACCTTCCCTGCGTTACTCATGGGAGACTCTGAGACCTTAAGTACCTGGTTTAAGGTGACCTGGCCACAAGGTGTGGTGGAGTAGATTCTCCCGGTCTGACTTCCCCACACGCAAGTGGGGAAGGTTCTCCCATTGAGGTGGGGTGGGGCGGGCTAGGAACCTGTGACATCACATACTTTGCTCAGCTCCAGCAGCCCCTCCCCCAAACTCAGCATGCATCCTGTCCCCAAGGTCTTGTGCTTCCTAGCTGACTGACTAACAGCAAGAACCCAAGTAGTAGTACACACTGGAAACGGTAAGTGGGCAAGTATGGCTTGGTTCTCAAGCTCCCAGAGCCTAGAGGTGTGGGGGAGGGGAGCAAGTAGCTTAGGTAGGCCACCCCGGGATGCTTACACTCACCCTGGTTACCAGGGGACCTTGCAGCACTAAGACTCTTATCTTCTTACCCTGTACCAACTCTAGACACATGCTTATAATTTGCTTAGCAGGTCTCTCCTGATGTGACCATTCCCTGGTGAGGAACCAGAGCCACAGAGACTGGCTGACATCTCCAGGTTTGAATAGCTGAGCCCAAGACATATAACTCTATGAATCTGAATTCAAGCCAAAGGCAAAGGCCAAGGAGGGGGTTGCTGCTGTCTCGAATTTCCCCACAGCTAGGAGCCAGGAAGCCACAGGTCCTCAGGACTGCCAGAGAGGTAGAGGGCTGGATGGATACACCCTGAAAATAAACATAGTAAGCGTGGGCTGCAAGCCTTAGAGCATTGGGTTAGGGTGATCAGTACTCTGGCCATTCCTACCCTAGGAACTCAACAGTCCCCAGGGGCCTGCCTAGACTGCCAGCCTGGCTGTGACATCAGGTCTTCTGGCCAACTTCCTGCCGTCATTCTTTCCTGTTTGTCTGTCTGGCCAGACAGCACAGCTATCTGCTCACATCCATTCTGAGTTGCTATCAACTTAATTCTAAGAACAATTTAGTTTTGGTGAGAATTGAGGTTCTCCTGTCTCTCCACTTACCTTTATCCAGATTCTCCCATTTCCTCCTTTCTATACCTAAATCAGGTTTTTAAACAAAGGTAGAATTTACTAGTCTTCTCATGTAAACACCCAAAAAAAAGCAAACATCCTTGCGATTTCCGGTCTGCTCAATTGCAGTGATGGATTATGACCACATGGGGGAGCGCTGCAATCACCACCACTTTGACCCACACTGTAAAGGGACTTGTCAGTGGCAGCCATTCAGAAGACAGAAGCGGAATAGACTGCTTTGAACGGAAATGTCAGGAAGTGACGTACAATGTCGTAGAAGGAAGGGTACCTGACAGACCCTTGTTCAAGCCTCCATTGCTCCCAGGAAGCGGAAGTGACCAGCAGTGGCTCCTGATGCCCTTGACCCTCAAGGTGGCGTTGCCTACAGAGCTTGCCTGTGGTCAGAAGCCATCAGCGTTGTTACTCAGGCATAAGACTGCATTAGAAGACTTTGGAGTGGGGGAGGCTGGAGCGAGATCTCCGTGGTTACAAGCACTGGCTCCTCCTCCAGAGGACCTGGGTTCAATTCCCAGGATCCACATGGCAGCTCACAACTAGATATACATGCAAACAACAACACTGGTGGCAGGTCGGGCGGTGGTGGCACACGCCTTTAATCCCAGCACTTGGGAGGCAGAGGCAGGCGGATTTCTGAGTTCGAGGCCAGCCTGGTCTACAGAGTGAGTTCCAGGACAGCCAGGGCTATGCAGAGAAACCCTGTCTTGAAAAAAAACAAAAACAAAAAAACAAAAAAAAAAGAAAAGAAAAGAAAAGACTGTTGGCAGAATCATAAATGCCTCCCTCCAATACCCATTCAGGTCAGTGCTGAGGTTGAGAGCCTACTGACAGTCAAGGACACGAACAATGAATGCCGCCACATAGCTGGGTAGAGCATAAGATGGTGTAAAGGTGTCACATGCTCATGAATATCTTCAGCTCACCCCTAAGGGCCAGGAACAGCACTTTCAGCTCAAAAAAAGTGTGACAAGAGATAAGTCACATTGCAAATACCCCATGGTGCAGAAGGGGAAGAGAATTTCGCAAGTCAATGGTGGCTGGTCAAACATCAGGAAACTTTGGGGAAGTAGGTGCAGATCTCAGGGAGAGACGCCCATTGTAACTGCTGCACAAAAGTTCCCTTGTGATGGTGCCATGCCTCAATCCTAGCCCTGTGGAGGCTAGCTATACTGAGTATCAGGCCAGCTAGGATGCACAGCCATCTTGCTGAATCTTGAACACTCTTCTGAAAAGCTAAGACCTCGTCTCATCGTCCAGTAAAAAAAAAAAAAAAAAAGTAATTACAGGAAGGGTAGCAGTGGTGCACACCTTACATCCCAGCGCTCAGGAGGCAGAGGCAGGAGGATTTCTACAGAGCAAGTTCTAAGACAGTCAGGGCTACACAGAAAAACTGTCTCAAAACGAAAAAAAGGGAGGGAGAGACTGGAGAGATGGCTCAGCAGTGAGAGCACCTAGTGCTCTTCCAGAGGTCCTGAGTTCAATTCCAGGAAACCACATGGTGGTTCACAACCATCTGTAATGGGATCTGATGCCCTCTTCTGGTGTGTCTGAAGATAGCAACAGTGTACTCATACAGATAATAAAGCTTTAGAAAAAAATGAGTAACTACACTCCCACTAGTTTCTTGTGGCCACACGTGGGGTGGATTAGAGGGAACCCAGGAGACAGCCTGCAAGTAGGTTACTCGGTTCCCCGGAGGCTCCTAGTGCAGAGGAAGAAAGCCGCTAAGCCTCTCGGAGTTTCAGTACAAGGAGGAAGTCAGTCAGTAGAGCTAAGGGCAAGGAGGAGAGACTTGTTTGTAATTTTTAGCTTGCCTTATAGCTAGGGAGCAGGCGGTTTGAACCAGATAGCACAGGAAGGTCATTTCTAATGGCTCAGGTTTTTGTTATGCTGACGTTTTGTGTGTGTGTGTGTGTGTGTGTGTGTGTTGGTTGGTTTGGTTGTTTGAAACATAGTTTTTCTGTATTACCCTGGCTGTCCTGGAACTCACTCTGTAGACCACCAGAACAGCCTCGAACTCACAGATCTGCCTGCCTCTGCCTCTCAAGTGCTGGCATTAAAGGTGTGAGCTACCACTGCTCGGGCATGTATGTAGTTTTGGCAAACTAGTCCTGGACATCAGTGCTCGGTACAATGATACATTGAACCTCCAATCCACCAATAAGCTTGGCCTCAGTAAGCACTGAGAACAAGCAGCTGGAGGGTGGAGGGATGGATGGCTCAGTGGTTAAGAGCATTGGCTGCTCTTCCAGGAGTCCTGGGTTCAGTTCCCAGGAACCACATGGCAGCTCCCAACTGTCTTTAACTCCAGTTCCAGAGGATCAGACCGGCTCACACAGACATACAAGTAAGCAAAAACACCAATGCACATGAATTTAAAAAAAAAAAAATGGAAGAATTGAAAACAACCCAAACCGTGGTGGTACACACCTTTAAATCCCAGCACTCAAGAAGCAGGGGCAGGTGGATCTCTGAGTTTAAGGCCAGCCTGGTCTATAGAGTTCCAGGACAGCCAAGGCTAGAAAGAAACTGTCTCAACAAATAAACCAAAAAGCAAAGCATAAACAACCACCACTACCACGGAGGTCTGACGCCTTTGTTTAAATCAGTTCTCACCCTGTGGATTGTGATCCTTTTGGGCGGGGGTTTAAGGACCCTTCCACAGGGGTCACCCGAGACCGTTGGAAAACAGGTATTTATACAAAGATTCATGACAGCAGCAGAATCGGTTATGAATCAGCAGCAGAAATCATGTTATGGCTGGGGCTCACCACATGGGGAATGGCACTAAAGGGCCGAAGCATTAGGAAGTTTGAGAACCGCTGGTTTAAATGAAATTTCTGTGAAAAAGGAAGTCCTAACAGTCGGGCCAACTCTGTACCATCGGCTGGTAAAGGACCGGAGAGCCAGCAGCCTCGGGGGAGGGGCAGGGGGCAAAAGCTTCTGCCTTCCTGGGAAAAGCTTGAGAAGCCTCCCTGGGCTGGGGTAGGGGGTGGGGGGGGGGGGTGCGTTTCCCTTGTCTCAACTTAGTCAATCCTGGGCGTCGAGTCTCCTCCGCCGAGTCTCCCATCCCGTAACACTCTTCCTCAGACCACAGTAAGTCTTGGGAGCAGGAAGGTCCAACGCCAACATGAGGACACATAAGCCCTGTTGTTCTCCAGGAAGTCTGGCAGCCTGGGCTTTGGTGTCAGGGCCTGGAGCCAAGGTAAGGGAGAACCCGGGCCTCAGCCTTTTCCTGCCCAGGGATGTGGGAGTATGGCCAGGAGCTGGGGGTGGTGCTGGCCAGTTTGGCAGAGTTCATTCCAGGGGCTGAGGACAGCATCGGTGGGGGGAGGGTAAAGTAGCCGTGAAGACAAAGCTGCCTCCATTTCCAGGCCTTTGAAATGAGAAAGCGGGGCTGGGGCATAGCTCAGCCAGCAGAACACTTGCCTAGCATGCACAAAGCCCTGGACTTGATTCCTAGACTCAGGACATGGGGGTACACAGCTGCGATACCAGCACTTAAGAGGCAAAGGCGGGGGAAGCGGTTCAAGGCCCTCTTCAGGTACATATGGATTGTGAAGAACATTCAGACTACATCCGTTCTCCAGAAAATTAATCTTTCTAAATCTGGGCCATAGTCTGGGCGAGGTGTCTTACCTCCAGGCCTGTCCCTTCCCTGTGGTCCCAGCAGGGGGCGCTGCAGCCCCTCTGAGACTAAAGGATTCCATCCTCCCCTTACGCCCAGGCCCAGCCTTAAGTCATGCAGAAACCTAGACTCAGGCTGCCAGTCGTCTCTCCTCTCCAAGGAGTTAAACAATGGGAGGATGCACAGAGCTATGGAGGAAAAAAAAAAATGTTTATTTAATCAGATGGCCTCTGAAGGCACCTGGTTTCTGTCAGTATAAAAAAGGCAGTAAAATGACATGGAACAGGCACAGAAGAAGGGCAGGGGATATCAGATCACATGATACACCAGTCAGCCGCCCATCTCCACCCCATCCTTGTGATAGGCAGACAGACAGATCTCTCTTGGCCCTGGAGTCTCTTGTGCTTGACTTAAGCGGGGATCAGTCAGACCACTGCTCCCCTGCCGTTCTGACCCCCAGTCCCAAGTCCATCTGCAGAGGCTCCCTCCCTGGTTCCTGGACATCTGGGCCCAGCACGGTCCAGAAGAAAGCAGATGTCGGCTAAAAGAGTGGCCCCTCTGGACCCCTGCTCATCTCTGGCAGGGACGGAAGTGCGCAGGAAGCAGGCAGTGTAATTCTTCTGTCACCACAGGGTCACACAAGTGCCCTTAACAAGAAGGACAATACAGCTCCCAGAGCCAGGCCCAGACACAGGAAGAAGGACATGATGTTTCCTGCTGTCTCCGCCTCAGCTGGTTTGACTTTCCTAAAAGGAAAAGCAGGGTAACCTGAGGCAAGCCAAGCCCAGCCCTGCCCGAATACTTTAACTCCCAAACCCAGCGTCTTGGGACCATCCTCCACCCTCCCTCGAGCCTCTCCCACACAGCTCCCACAAGCACATTAGCCAGACCTCACCTCCATGCCCCTCCTACTGCCATCTCCCTCTATGTCCTGCCCGATGTCACCAAATTCCCCCGTGGCCCCACTTACTTGGGCCCGAAGCACATGCAGAGGCTGGCGAGGTAGCCGTTGGAGAAGGCAAAGGCAGCCATGAAGGTGATGAACCAGGAGTCATGCTTAAAGATGTGGTGGTGCCGCGGCACTCCGCAGTGGCGCGGCTTCACGTTACAGAGCATCAGCAGGGGAATAAACACAATCCTTGAGGCTACCAAAACCGGCAACCAGCGGCTATTCTGACCAGGCTGTGAGAACAGGCAAAGCTTCAGCGCATGTCAGTCTGGATCTCCTTGGGGCCCCTAGGGACTTGGATAAAACCTCTAGGCCTGGGTACCTTTTGAGGGTGCTGATTGCAAGGGTTACAGTGGTGCCTATGGGATAGCAATTTTTTATTTTTCTTCTTTTAAAGATTTATTTTAAATTTTAAAGATTATTATTTATACAGCACTCTGTCTGCATGTACACCTGCAGACCAGAAGAGGGCACCAGATCTCATTCTAGATGGTTTTAAGCCACCATGTGGTTGCTGGGACTTTAACTCAGGACCTCTGAAGAGCAGCCAGTGCTCTTAACCTCTGAGCCATCACTCTAGCCCCTCCCCCTCCACACCTTTTCTTTAAAAAAAGTTTTTCAAGACAGGGTTTCTCTGTGTAGCCCTGGCTGTCCTAGAACTCACTCTGTAGGCCAGGCTGGCTTCAAACTCAGAAATCCGCCTGCAAGTGCTGGGATTAGAAATTTTTCTTGTTTTAAAGACAAGTTCTCATGTATCCCAGGTGGGCCTCAAGCTCACTATACAGCCAAGAATGACCTCGAACTCCTGACCCTCCTGTTTCCAGCTCCCACGTGCTGGGATTTCAGGTGTGTGCTACTGTACTTGTGAGGTGCTGTGGGTTAAACTCAGGGCTTCGTGGATATGCTAGGTAAGCATCACTGCCAAGTAGTGGAAGGTATCCTTTGATCCAGGTGGGGGACACGCACATACACACCCAAGAACTGCACCCTCGGGCTAAAGATGGCTCAGTAGTTAAGAGTTCTGCTCTTGCAGAAGACCCAGGTCTAGCTTCTAGTATCTCGCAGTCTCCTCTTAACTCCAGGGGATCTGATGCCCTCTTCTGGCCTCTGCAGGCACTGCATTCACACGCACACACCCTCTCACACACATAACTTAAAAACTTTAGCTGGGTCATAGCGGCACATGCACTTGGGAAGCAGGGAGTAACAGATTGAGTTCGAGGCCAGCCTGGTCTACAGAGTAAATGCCCAGATAGCAACACACAGAAACCCTACCTTGATACACAAATGAATGACTGTGTACACAGTTACACATAAGTTATGAGTAGATTTGAAAAGGATAGCTCTCTTTACACTGTATTTTCCCCTTCTTGCAGGTTTTATTTTTTTTTTTTTTTTAAATGAGTACATTGTCACCATCTTCAGACACACCAGAAGAGGGCATCAGATCCCACTACAGATGGTTGTGAGCCACTATGTGGTTGCTGGGAATTGAACTCAGAACCTCTGGAAAAGCAGCCAGTGCTGAGCCATCTACACACACACACACACACACACATACACACACACACCCCTTTAACCTATTTTCCCTTCTTACAGTTCTGCAGTTTTATAGACTGGACCCAGGGGTCATGCATGGTAGGCAAGCCCTCTATCACACAGTCACACTGCAGCCCCACCATACTTTCTTGGGGCTCCCTCTTGGCCTCAGCTGGACACTTGAACCCCACAGGTCCCACAGCCTACACTCTACTTACCCACATGCAAACAGCGGTGAGGCTCCGGCCCAGCCAGTCAAAGACATTGAAATTCAAGAAGCAGGCCACAGGAATGAAGTAGGAACTTTCTAGGAGAGAGACTTAAGACTTAGCACCTGGCCCTCTCTGGGCCTCTGCCTCCTCATTCTGTATCAGAAGAGATGCTTCCAGCCAATGGCAGGGTGTCAAGTAGGCCCATGTAGAGCCAGCTGGGCAGAAGCGTCCCCAGGTGGCCGGTACTCCACCCTTGATTCTGCTATAGACTCTGGGTGAATCTGTCCCGGGAAGGAAGCGTGTGGTGGGAGGGGGAGCGGGGTTGGGGGTGGAGGGGAACGGGGACACACTTACTCCAGGGACTTGGGCCTTCGATGCTGGATTCCACCTCAGCAGTCACAGCAGGAAACAACCCAATGGTGACTGTGAAGATGAAGCAGACAGACAGAGCTGGGACCCAGATCTGGAGAGAGAGAAGAGAGAGAGAGAAAAGAGATTCATCCAGGGCCCTGGGTTGTTATGGCTTTGTGTACAAAAGACAAAAGAGCCAGACACTGGTGGCATACCCCTTTTTAATCCCAGCACTCAGGAGGCAGAGGCAGGCTGATCTCTGAGTTCAAGGCCAGCCTGGTCTACTACAGAGTAAGTTCAAGGACAACCAGGGCTACACCAAGACCATGTTCTTGAAAAAAACCAATAAATAAATAAATAAATAAATAAATAAATAAATAAAATCATACACACACACATACAGAGAACATTCATAAGAAGACAGGAAAAGCACTTGGGAGGCAGAGGCAGGCGGATTTCTGAGTTCGAGACCAGCCTGGTCTACAGAGTGAGTTCCAGGACAGCCAGAACTACACAAAGAAACCCTGTCTCGAAAAACCAAAAAAAAAAAAAAGAAGAAGACAGGAAAAAGCCCAGTCTAAGGTCAGAAAGGGAGGTGGTATAAGGTAAACACAGCAAACGGAGAAAGAAGGGTAAAGAAGGGTAGGCAGGACACCCTGGGCCCACGTACACTCTTAAGTATGTCTTTGATAGACTGGCTTCTGTTGGTGGGTGGAGAGTTGGGGCCTGGCACCCCAGAGTCCTCTCTTCCTCCTCTTGGCTCCTCTCCTGTCAGGTGAGAGGTTGTAAAAGGATCTTTAAGTTTTAGGGAAGACAGAACAACAGGTAGAATGAGCAGGAGGTGGCACCTATCTTAACTGGCTGGTCCATAGTTATACTGTAATAACCCATAGACCTACATGCCCTTGACTCGAGCCCCTGGGGGCTCCCCTTCCCCCAGGAGGCTCCTGATATTCTCCCTTCCCTCTGAAACCGCTAACCTCTGTCCAAATGCCTGAGACATTCAGGGTAATCCAAGTTTCCCTTTTTAACCCATCAAGATTTTATGTAGGTCAGGCTGGCCTTGAACTCACTGTACAGCCAAGGATGACCTTGAATCCGATCCTCCTGCCTCTCCTTCCCAAATGCTAAGGTTACATGTGTACCACCTTGCCCAGTGCAGGAATCAAACTCAGGGCTTTGTGCACCCACTCTTACCAACCAAGCGATAGGCGGAGACCCCCTGAGGTCTCTGTGCTATCATCCCTCTTTTACCCTCTCCCTACCTGCTCATGGTCGCTGTGTCCTCCTTTGGCACCTAGCTGCCAATTAACACGACATGCCCCCAGCTATCCCCCATCATACTGCCCTACCAGACTTCCTTTAGTAATTAAGACCTTTACTGATGAGATCCATCTTGGTCTCCGGCTCTGCAGGCCCCGCCAGGTTGAGCTGCAGGTAATGGCGATAGAATTCCTGTTCAGCGAGGGACATGGGAGAAGTAGAGTCAGGGGCAGCAGCGCCAGTATTCCAGCTTGCCATGGTTTAGTTTTAGGACACCCCTGCTTTGAAACCCTGAGGCCTCCCCAACGCCCCCCATTTGCTCACCGTCCGAGGCAGAGCCAGGTAGCACACTATGGCCAAAACGACAACTGCACAGGCTGTGATGAAATAGCCAAAGGCGCTTTCTGACAGCTCCGAACCACCTGGCGCACAGTGGACAAGCTCAGATACACGCCATCCCTCCAAAACATCCCACCTGCCTCCCCACAACCTGCAAGCAGGGCAGTGGGCGTGGTCGGACTCACTGGCAATGGCGCAAATCATGGCGACAGAGGTGAAGAAGCCAGCCAGGCCCTGGCCACTCATGATGGGGGCTGTGTAGTTGGCCGGCAGGACGCCTGCTAGACCGAAAAGGCTGGCTTGCAAAATGGCACCGAATGCTGGGGAGGAGTGAAGATAGCGAGCTTGTCAGCAGCAGTCAGGACTCCCAGGGAGCTCTGACCTGAGCCACGCCCACCCTGTTCTCTGCCCCAGCTCTCAACCCAGGCCCAGGGCTGCCCACCCGTCATCCCGCAATTACAATTAATGAGCACAATCTTGATCATGGTGATGACGAAGAAAGACAGAGCATCTATCTCCACCTTCACCAGGGCGGCAGTGACGAGGAACACCAGCAGGATAGCCACCAGGCTGCCCAAGATCCGGACAGACTGAGAGACCCTAGGAGAGAGGCAGGGGGATGGTGGTGGGGGTCGGGAAGGGTCAGCCCGGGGCTGAGGAAGCCGGAGCTGGCTGGGCATTGGGGATGGGGAGGCTCACCTCTGATGCAGGAATGAGGTGAGGCAGGTGAAGATCAACAAGGGTAACATGGCACACAGGGTCATGACATTGTTGAAGATGGCACTGAGCGAGCTCCGGGTTGGCAAGGGCACTGTGTGGTTAGCCAAGGTCTTGGTGCTTTCACATGATTGGTCAGTGACCAAGGACAAATTCTGGGACACGTCCAGGCGGCTTGTGAAATACTGTGGGGTTTACAGAGGTTGAGTGTTGGGACCTCTGTCCCTCTCTGTCCTCAGAGGCACAGAACCAGGCCTTGAAAGCCTAGGGGACACATCCTCTGGGACCGAGTGCTTGCCCCCACTCCAACCTCACCTTGGTTGCTGTCATAAAAAAATTCCAGGGAAGCAGCGTCCCCAGGCCCAGCACAAAGAAGATAAGCCATACTGCCTTATACCTACGTAGGAAAAAAGCAAAATGATTGGTCAGCCCACCTTCCCTCCCTCCCCATCTTCCCAGCTATCCTAGCTGTGTGTATCCACGCCGCATAGGTGCCCTTCTGCAGAGGTGTGAGGTGATGTGTAGGCCCTGAGTACAGAACAGGCTGTAAGGAAAAGGGCCGATGGGATGGCAGTTTTTTTGTTTTGTTTTGTTTTGTTTTTGGTTTTTCAAGACAGGGTTTCTCTGTGTAGCCCTGGCTGTCCTGGAACTCACTCTGTAGACCAGGCTGGCCTTGAACTCAACCGATGGCAGTTTTAAATGACACGGGAGACAGACCCTTGGTTCTCAAGTCCTAGAAGGTTTAGGGGGGCCTAGTGAGCTGGGAAGCAGTGTGACCCACACATCCAGAGATGGCTTTGGAACCTCAGCTAAAGGAGATTGGGTGAAGGAGAGAACACAAGCCACAGCCACAGCCCGCCAGCTGGAAGCAACTAAGCTAAGTGGGGACTCCAGTCCCCTGAAGAACTCTGAGGTCAAAAACACCCAGACAATTCTAGACTCAGTGGGTCAGATGGGCTGGGTGCCTGGGGGGTGGGGGGGTTTGGGGACTGGGAAGTAGAGAGCTATAGATTTTCCTTTTTTCCTAAGTAGACAGAACAAGTTTTGTAGTCCAAACTACCTAGGGCAGGGCAGGGCAGATAGACTAGGGCTTATGGAAGCCATCTGGTTCTGAGCATGACTCTGGACAGTCTTTGCCTGTCCAGCTTAGCAACCCTAGTCCTCTTCCGTTACAGTTGCCTAGACCTGGTAAAATGCCTTCCCCTTAACCAGCATCTACAGACTTCACAGAGATGGTAGCGAGGACACCCAACTCAGTGGGGCAGGCCTCTTGCAAGCCTTAAATGGGCCAGCCAGAAGAGTACCCGAGTTCGCCAGTCTAAGCCATGGCCGCCACAGCCTTCAAAGCCCTCCTCATCCAATTCCCTTGAGGTCAAGATGTTTAAGGCTTGATTCGAAGGCTCAAATGGAAGGTAAAACTCCAAGGGAAGGCTATACAGGACAGGAGCTCAGAGAAGAACTATCGAGCCAGGAAGCAACGAAATGGGTAAACTGTTGAGGGGCAAGGCCAGGGCACCAGGCAGCCTGGGAAGGAAAGGAGGCAGGAAGCTGGAGTCTACAATGACAATGCTTCCCCTCAGAAAGCAGTCGCGGAAGGCTGATATTCTCACCAGACTTTACAGGTGGAGAAACGGTCCCAGAAAGATGAAGCTAACTCCCCAGTCAGAAAGGGTCGTTACATAGCCTTTGACACAAGAGGGAAATGGTGGGCAGGGGAGTGGTGAGGGACCCACAGGACAGAGAGGCCATCTGGAAAGAGTGCAGCGTGGCTTCATAAACTTCCACAAGCCTCCCCTCTGGAGGACTTGACTCAAGCTCTTCCCCCATCCTAACACACAATCCCAACCTTAACTAGCCTGGGGAAGATCACAGGCTCCAGAGAGAGAAGGCTAGAAGAGTCAGGCCAAAGACCAGAGTCGGCTGAGGTCAAAAGAGGCAGAGGCCCCAGGGCAACCTCCAGGGACTAGGGTGGTCCTGCCAGATGTGCTCTGGAATGAGGGAAGCGGCCAAGTGTCTCCCCACAGTGACGGCAGGAGGAGCTGGAAGCCAGGAGGAGCTGGAAGCCTCTGTCTAGCTGTGCAGTAACAGTGGAAACACTGACACACTCCAACAGGGGCCTGCTGCCCACCTAGCCCTGCGGGCACACTAGCCAGCACCCAGCCAAGGCGTGTTCCTCACCCTAGCCCATGCAGACCTGACTCAGAACCTCCAGACTGGGAACACAGTTAGTCCTGAGGTACCCTCAAGTCCCAAAGAGCGCAGCTCCCTCCCACACTTACCCTAGAGACTCACTCCCTAGATTCCCAGACCAGCTCCCCTCCCCGCAACCACCCCTCCTGCCACACCCCTTGGCCATCCAGTACCTGTCCTGAGGCTGGTGACTGGTTGTCATGGCTCCAGTGTTCTCGGCTGTGCCTGGCTGGCAGCTCCCTCCCTCTGGCTCCTGCTGGGGGTAAAGGAATATTGAGCTCTGTCTGGCTCTGCTTCCACACTGCCCCAGGCCTGTCTCAGACTCTTGAGGGGAGGGCTGGACTCAGAACAGGCAAGGGAAGCTACCCTATGAGCCTCTGTAGACCCAGGACCACTCAACTCAGCCCCTTCTGGCCTTTGGCCCCAGGAAGCCCTTCCTGTCGTCTCTCTGCCTGATTGGGCTGCACCTGGCTGCCAGCCTGGCCGCTGCCACCGCCGCCACCGCTATTTTTATCCAGCGGCAGAAGCAGTTTATAAGCTTGGGAAACCAAAGGCCGAGGAGCAAGAGAGGAGGAGGACGCACGACTGAGAGGCAGGGAAAGACAGTCGAAGAAGTCAGAGAAGAGATGAAAGGGGTCAGGGACAGTGATGACAGTGGACACAGAGAGAGGACAGAGCAGGCAAAGGGGAAAGAGAGGGAGAAAGCTTAAGACAGCAACCCGCAGGAACCCAGGTCTCCTGAGGCCTGCTGCGAGCCTGCACTCTCCCTCCAGGGTGCCCCCACCCCATCACCCAATCAAGGCTGTGGCAGGGAAGGCCTTTGCAGACTGCTTCCTAGAGTAATTGGGACTCCCTCCAGGCGATGCTGGAGCCAGCATCTAAGCCTTTCCAACTGCTGCCCAGGGGCTTCCTGAGTTCTCCAAGAATATATTTCATAATTGTGGGAGGGACATGGCCTTCTCCACAGTGAGTTCCTTCCCTTGACCCCAAGTCCCAGAACGTTCCTTTCTTTCCCACTACCCCCCCACCCCCCCAGTTCCTTTCTCAGTCTCAGGCCACTAACTATCCTCTTCCCGTTTCTGACAGTGGCTCTGAAGGGAAATTTGGAAAGGTAAGGCACAGGCTAGCATCGTGCTCCAAAGTTCCTAACATCACTCTCAACATCCCGCTCCATGCCCCACTCACAAAGGGCAGATAACACAGCACCAGTGGGCTAGTCCTGTAGGGAAGCAGGCTCAGAATATGCAAGGCACACCCCCACAGGCACCCCCCCTCAGACTGCTATTTCTTTGTCTAGGGCAAGCTCCAGCTCCTCATCACTCACCGAATTTGTAGGCTCGATGTTGACAGGTGGGTGAGAGTCGAAGGTACCTGGGCGTTCCCCAGGAGGGGGTCCTAGCTCAGGCTCGGGCAGAAGGCTGGGTCCTGGGTGAGGGTCCAGAGTGGAAAAAGTTGGCAAAGGCTTATCAGAGAGAATCCCTTAGGCCTCCAGGGGCCCCCATTCAGTGGGGTCTCACAAGCTCAGAAGCCGCAGAAGCTGGAAGTACCAGAGAAGCTGAGAGATAAAGGCCACCCTGTATGTAGCTGAGAGATAAGACAACAGAAGCAGCAGGCTCAGCAGGGGAGCTAAGCCTGTGGCAGCCAGGTCAGCTGGCAGGTGCAGCTAGAACTTCAGGCCCCGCCCACCCAGACAATTGCCACAGCTGGTCACCATGAGGCCCTACAACCACTTTTCTACTCTTCTGTGGGTGAAACCCAGACTGGCCAAAGGTCTTCCTTTCCCTCAGTCCTGGACAGCAAAGCCACACACCTCCAGACGGAGGCAGAAGGCTCCTGCTGTTGGTTTCAGGTAGTATTTACTGAGGGTCTCTGCCAGTCAGCCAAGCACCCGCCCAGGCACTGGGGACAGAGCGGTAAGCAGTAGCAACGCTATTTATCTAGGACAAGAGGGTTCTGCTGGGGCTGGGGAGAGCCTGAGGATTCAGGGGACCCCCATCAGAACCTAGCAGACCCTCAGCACACACGCCACACTTCTTCCGTACACCAGCAAAAGGGAATGTAGCCGCAAGCCAGAGAGAGGGCTAACTCTCCTATCATAAACCGGGCCTAAGCTTGGATAAGTGTTTACACACACACACACACACACACACATATACACACACACTTCTCCCCTTGCAACAATCCCCACCCCATCCCTGGGCACCACTTAAAGCCACAGGCAGCCCCTGGGTCCCGCCCACATCCAAACATTCCATTGGCTGCCTAGCCCCTTTGCTTTTGTCCCACAGGGGATCTGATAGCAGCGATTCAGGGCCTCTGGTATCGGTTCAACCATGCCTTGACCTGCAGAGATGGGGAGGCCCTGAAAGCAGCCACCCATCTGAGGCCTTCCTGCGTCCTAGGGTCCCAACGACTCTCACACAGTTCCGTTTCTCAGCATAGTTTTTGCTACATCAGAATCTTTACTTGAAATCTGCAGACGCCCCTTTGCCAGCTGCCTAGAAGCAGGGATCGGTTTCTACTAAACAGAGGGGCCAATTGAGGTTTAAAAAAGTTACATTGCACGGGGCAGTGGTGGCACACGACTTTAATCCCAGCACTTGGGAGGCTGAGGCAGGCGGATTTCTGAGTTCGAGGCCAGCCTGGTCTACAGAGTGAGAACCAGGACAGCCAGGGCTACACAGAGAAACCCTGTCTCGAAAAACAAAAAACAAACAAACAAAAAAACAAAAAACAAAAAAAGAGAGAGAGATTAAAAAAAAAAAAAGGTTACATCATTTGAGAAAGCCCGCAGAGCTGGTGAGGGGGAAAACAGCATCAATACTCAATGTACCGATTATTCTAGATCCCTTCCCAGGTGGGGAAGGCGAAATTAATAAGGCTCCTCAGCTACTCATGCAGACTTCCAGGAAGAGGGCAACAGTGGTCCAATTAAAGGGTTAAGACAAGTTGAGAGATTCAGGTCATTCTCCCACAGAACGTTAGTTTCAGATCCATGGCACCTCACAACCGTTCCATCGCGCAGATATTATTGTATGCAAAGCTCACACAGGCAGGACAAGCCAGAGAAGGAGGGTTAATCAAGTAGAGGGGGCTGCCTCGCCGCACAGGGTTGGAAAGAAGACCCGAAAAGGGTATAAGGTGCAGGGGTGGAGCAAGCCTTCATCCACCGGGAGCCTGGGTGTGCATGTCCTTATCTTGTCACTCGTTCACTCTCCGCGTTGAGTAAATGAGGACGCGCCCAGGAAAGGGAGGCCAGGGACAGGAGTTTAGTCAGTAAATGGGCAGCTAGCTCCGTTAAGTCCATCTGTATTACCGCATTCCCCATCCTCCTGCCTCGGGGCAGAAGACAACGCGGTCCCTCTCTCCAGCTCACACAGGAGCTGTAGCGTTGAACCACCCACTCGCCGACCCTCTGCGGAAGTCAACATAGCGACAGTCCCTTTCAGGCCCAGAAGCCAGGCTGTCTCGGGCCCGGCTCCGCCCTGGTCCCCACAAAAGGATCATCCCCCTACCCAGAGCCAGGCCCCTACGAGCCACGTGCTGCGCTGCTCTGCACGCGCCGCGTGGGGGCCGCACCCCAAAGTCCCTGTCGCGGCCTCGGAGCTGGCAGGCCGAGCCTCCCTTGCCCTCGTGGCAGGCCGGACACGCCACTCTCTGCCCCAGAGTCCCCAGCACGTCCCACCCGGGTCCTAGGAGCACCTGCTGGAGAAGGACACCTCCGGCGGAGAAATCTGCGCGCCCGGCCAGCGCTTCCCGCGCCCGCCCGAGCGCTTTCAAACCCGCCTTCTGCTGGGCCCGCCCCGGGCCCGTGCGAGCCACCTCCTCCCGGCGACAGCCCCGCCCCCGGGCTCCACGCCGCCCCCTCGACAGATCACTGGCTCCCAGCCCCAGAGACCCTGCGCCTAGGGCCACCAGGGCTGCTGGCTTCGATGGCAAGCACGTCTTTGGACCCTTCCCAACTGTCACCCGGACACGCAAGCATGGGAGTGGGGCACGGGCCCCACACAGGGTACCCCTAATTTCTGCGCTGGGCCTGCGCTCCTAACTCCTACACGTTCCAAGGGACTCTTGCACAGACAGGCCCTCTGCTCACCCAGGCCCAGACGCCCCCACAGCCACGCTCCACCTCAGGTGTTCCGTTATCCCTCTCCGAACCCCGCCCACGCCATTATTCACACTCCATGGTTTCACTGCTAGCACCCCCTCACACACACACACCCTTCTAATACATCCTTTTTTTTTTTCTTTCCACTCCTCCTCTTCCCTTCAAGAAGACTTTCCACCCACTATCCTGGTGGGATACCTCAGATTTGATTGTTCAGGAACCCGGACGCAGGAGGTGTTTGTTTTCTCTCTCCAACCCTCAGACTCGCACACCACACAAACATCATTTCCCCTCTTCCCTCCCCCTATAACTTTGCCTTGAAGGCTCTTTGCATAGGGGACAGCCCTGAGGCCTCTAAGAAAAACTGAAACACAGCCGGCGACCGGAGAAAGAGGAGCCAGGAAGAAAGGCTTCATATCCTGCACATCTCTTTATCCTAGCCAGCATTTCACTGTCCCATCCCAAGATAACCCTCATGGGTAGCAGCCTTGCTGAACCCCGTACCATCCATACCCCCCACGGCTGGGGTATTGGAAGCTCCTACAGTAGCACTCCCTACTGTACATAACCCAGAAGTTGGGGAGGGTCCTGAGGCAAGAACATCCCATTCAGACTGCCTGCATCAGCCCAGCTCCCTGAAGAGCCCCGTGCCCCAGAGAAAACATTGGAACTAATTAACAATTACCAGTACTAACTTCACAGGGAAAAGGTGCACTCGTCCTCCCCAGAGAACGACTGGGCCCTTAGGAGGTAGCTGACTCTGTAGGACAGTGGGTTCTCTCAAGCTGCTCTGGTGGGGGTGTATACAGCCTTCCTGCTCCCACAGAGATGACACATCTCCCCACTAGCACTAAGCAAACAGAGGGCAGGAAGTCGGGCTTGGGTGGTATTTTTCTGGGCACTATCCCATGGCTTAGGAGTAGCCTTATGTCTGTCCACAACGCCAGATCCCTACCCTGTTTGTCCAGTCTCTGTCTCTCCCTGCCTTCGCCTCCCTTTGTCTGTTGGGCCCCAGCCTCACCCCCTCTTCCCCTTCCCAGGTCTGACCCTGTAGCCATCCGTAGCTGGCACAGCTGTGGGAGAGATCCACTAGGCATGGCCAGGCTGGGAGCCCTTGTATGCAAAGCAAACTGGACATGGACGGAAGAAGTGGAGAGGGTCCCAGCCAGACTGGGGAAGGCTGGTTCCTTTCCTTACGCCCACTGGGACCTGGCCATCTATGCAGATGGCCACAGCCAGGCCTGTTATTATTGGAGATCAGCCCTTCTGGCAAGCTCCTTGCCTGGGCTTCAGCCAGCACCCACACCCCAGGCAGCCTTAGCCAGTTGCTGGTGCCAGAGCCCTCTGCTGGACAGCCCTGGGAACCCAGCTCACACAAGCCTGGGCCTGGGCAGATTCTTAGGCCAGGTTTTGTTTGTTTTTGTTTTTGTTTTAACTTTTCTCCTCCTATCATGGCTCCCCTCTCCCTCTCCCTAAGGTTAAGTCAGGAGGGCTGGTCTACCTGACCTGATGCTTACTTTTATGTCTTGTCCCCCACCTCAGTTGGGACTGTCATTTCTGCCTCTCCCTCTTTAGAAGGTAGATTTGCTTCCACAACACTCATAGCCCTCTCTCTCTCCAGGCCTGTTCTCTCTGCTGTTAGCCACAGTCATCTGTGTTTGCTGCAACAGTGTTTGCTCCGGGTTGGGGCGGGGGGTGAGGGTTGGGGAGATGGGAGGGTTGTCACAAGCCATGTCTCAAGTTCTCTGTTGTTAGTGATTAAATCTTTGTGGCCTTGCGGCAGAAAAGGAACTAGGGAAAACCCAGGGAAACACTTGCCCAATGTGCTGAATTTAAGGGGACACCCAAAGGAGTCATCAATGAAGAGGAGTTTTAAGGCAATGTGGGTTTTCTTGTCTTTGTTTTGCTCTTGTTTGTTTTAGGACACTGGGGTCAAGTTCAGGGCCTGGAACATGCTAGAGATATGCTCTAGCCATTGAGCTAGTTCCTCAGCCTAATGCCGTTGTTAAAAAAATAAATACATTAGTGGAAGGACTCCATAATTAATACAAGATCAAACTCTCTCCCTCTCCCCCCTGTGTGTGTGTGTGTGTGTGTGTGGTGTGTGTGAGTGTGTGTGTGGTATGTATGTGTGTGTGGTGTGTGTGAGTGTGGTATGAGTGTGTGTGTGGTGTGTGTGTATGGTGTGTGTGTGGTATGTGTGAGTGTGGTATGAGTGTGTGTGTTGTGTGTGTGTATGGTGTGTGTGTGGTGTGTGTGTGTGTATGGTGTGTGTGTGGTGTGTGTAAGTGTGGTGTGTATGGTGTGTGTGTGTGCATGGTGTGTGAGTGTGTGTGTAGTGTGTGTGTGGTGTGTGTGTGTGTGGTGTGTGTGAGTGTGTGTGTATGGTGTGTGTGTGTGTGTGGTGTGTGTGTGTGGTGTGTATGGTGTGTGGTGTGTGTCTGTGTGTGTGTGTAGAGGCCAGAAAACTACCTTTGGCTGCAGTTCCTTAGGGACCACCCACATTGGTTTGTTTTTTTCAAGATTATGAATTGTGTGTTTACACCACCCTGATGCACGTGTACGTGAGGCCTGGGGGGTCTTGGACCCCTTGGAACTGGACGTGTAGGCTGTTGTGAGCTGCCTGATGTGGGTACTGGGACCCAATCCAGGTCCTCGCCAAAAACAGTAGTCACTCATAACCACTGAGCTCTGGCTGGTCTGGAATTCCCTAGGCAGACCAGACTGGCCTGTAGCTCACACAGATCTGCCTGTCTCTGCTTTAGGATTGCTAAAATCAAAGGCCTGTGCCGCTAGCCTGGCCTGTTTTGTAACATAGGAGTTCTAACCGTTTGTCCTCTCCCTTGCCTTCCTAGTGATGGGATTATAAGTGGCATCTCAGCTTTGGGGAAAAAAATATGAATATATGTACATACATTCATATATACATACATACCTAGGCTCTGAGAGAACTGAACCAATCGATCTAGTCTTCCCTATGCCCAGTATAAAATTTTCAAATAAAGACAGATGTGTACACAGGGTGGATACTAGGTCAGGGTTCAAGAAGACTTTGTTCGTTCTGTCTAAGCCTAGGCTTCTAGCCAAATTTCTCCGATGTGTCTCCTAACCCTCTGGTTGGCAGGTAAGTCTTCTCTGACCCAGGGGACAATTTTAAGTGTCCCAGAGCTTAAACAACTATCCAATTATGGGCCTACAAACTCTCAGAAAAAAAAAAAAATCCTTCTTCTTGAGGCGACATATTTGTACTCCGAGGGCCAAATCCTCCTTTTCAAAGGGCCTGTTGGGCACCATCAGAACCATTCAGTCCCCATCGGTGCCCCATTGCATCTACTGAGACTGGACCTGGGGTAGGGGTGGGGGTGGGGAGGCTGGACAGGGGAGAATGAAAATTCCCAGGTCGTGGGACCCCAGCCATCTCTCGACCTCCTCACCTGGGGGCCAAGGCCAAGGCCAAGGCCGGAGCCGGCCAGTCTCTGGCACAGGGCTCGAGAGCGTAGCCGTCACCGACGATAGCTCGCTAGCCTCGCGCTCTGCGGCCGCTGCCTGCCCCGCCCCGCGCTGCCGAGGAGTAGAGATCCGGGGACACCGGGTGGCACGAAGGAGGCCCAGTGGGAGGGGCCGTGGGACTGAGAAGGGACGTAGTAGGAAAGGTGGGACTGCTTTTAATCCACCTGTCCCCACGGGTCGTACATGCTCTAGATTCTGAGGACTCTGTAGGAACAGCTGGGTCACCGGGAGGACGGAAAAGTTCTCCAGGGCCTGGGAGGTAGAGGGGGAGGGGCGGCTCAGCTCAGATGTCACGCTTTCCCAGCCTCAAGTTTCTGTCTGTAGGAACCTGTATGGATTCCTTGACAGGGGCCAGTATTCCTTACTATGCCTTTCTTATCCTACAGCCGAAGTCACTCCTGGAAGGATTTATTGCGTGGGAATCGTAATCAAATTATCCAGAGAATCGTAGTACTCGATGCCCACCCACGCGTGCGTACACAAAAGCGCTCACTCAGCTGAGGAGTAAGAAATTTTTAAAAAATATTTTTTTATGTGTATGGATGTTTTGCCTGAGTCTGTGTCAGGCCTGGTGGCCTTAGAGGCAGAGGGGAGTGTGGAACTGGGCTTCTAGGGGGTTGTGAGCTGCCACGTGGATGCTGGAAACGGACCTCAAGTCCTCTGGAAGAGCAGCTAGTCCTCTTAACTGCTGAGTCATCTCTCCAGCCAGCCCCAAGTAGTGAAATTTTGGGTGATTTCTTATTTCTTCGAGGGTAATAAGACGTCCCTAAAGGTCATGCATGTCCCCACTTCCCAGCCTACTGCCCTGCTGACCAATCTCCTTTATCCTATTACCTCTAGCTGAGATGTCTCCAGAGCACGCCAGGGATCAATTTTCCTGCCGTCAGCCAGCTAGCCTTCCTGCGACACAGATCTAAGCCATGGCGGGGCCCGCAGTGGGACATTCTAAACGAAGTTACATAATTCCAAACAACTCGGAGTTTGTGAGGACTGAGGGACAGATGGAACAAGTTACCCAAAGGAAGTGTTGCCAATGTCTTCACCTCTGTCCCTTCTCCAGCTTCCCACAGATAACCCAGAGATAGGCGAGAGTGGGGGTGGTGAGATTTTCCGAGACACCCCAGTCATCCAACACAGGGCCTGGAATTAACTCAACTGGTAGAGCGCTCGCCTAGCGTGGATACAGTTCTGGGTTCAATCCCTAGTGCCACCCAAACTAGGCTTGGATGTGGTGGATGCCTGGAACACCAACACCTTTGAAGTAAAGTCACAGAGATCAGAAGTTCGAGATCATTCATTCTCAGTTCTCAGGAGTCCGAGGCCAGACTGGCATACATAAAACAGTCTCAAAAACAAACCACCAGCACCAATAACAACACACTGTCATTTATTGACTAACTTGCTACATACTAAGCTTTGAAAGTAAAGGGAAGCAAGATATTATTATTATTTTAAGGTAGACTGGACAGTTTGGGTTTAAATACCGCCTCTTAGCTAAATTGTCTTGAGTCTAAGTTAAACAGCAGCTCTTTACTGACCTCGACACCTCCATTTGCAGGTCCACCCTGGAGGCCAGAGATAAGGCGGAGGGAGCTGCAGAGAGGAAGGATAACCAACACAATCTGTAGTCTGCTAGGTGCTAGGGGAGTGGGAGCTGTTCGGGTCAGAACCCTCCAGCACGCAGTCCCGACTGCTCTCGCCCACTGGGCATTCTGCAGTCTGTGCGGATGCCTGGACTAACCCGCTCCCAGAGTACTTTGATAGACGTTTGCTGTTTCCAGGACCTATGGCCTCACTTCTGGGGGCCCAATCTCGCCTTCCTCTGGGAGTGATCCACTCTGGAGGCCTCTCCAGAATCCGGTGGCTGTTGCTGGCTGAGGACGAACAGCACACAGCTTAGCAGAGCCTCTCTCATGTCTTGGGAGCTCAGTCGGCGGGCCAGCCGGCGCAGCAAGGGTAGGAGGTGCTGGCGGGCCAGGCGGGCAACAGGCAGCAGCAGGCGGGATAGCAGCGATCGAAGCACCAACGGGAGCAGTGGAACGGGCATGGCAGGACCGGGACCTGCAAAGGGAACCCAGGTTCTAGACTGTACCTCCGGCACCCACCTCACCTGGCAAAGCGGGGGGTGCGGAGTCCTCCCTTCAGCTTATACCTCTGCATTCCCCCTGCTGGCTTTCAACTCATGGATTAATTTTACTTTGGAGGAGCTCTTTTTTTTCTGGAATGAGAGCTGGCTCAGGGGGATTCACTCACTGTTACCACGGATGGGACCGGAGCCCGGGGCTGGAGAGTGGTGGGGACTGAAGTTGGGGCCTACCGCGTGCCGGTTCCAGTACCCACTTCCTTTCATCCCTCCCTTCCTCCCTCCCTTTGCATACTCTGACCCGAAGCCTTCAGTCCTTGCTCTCCCTCTCACCAGCTCTAACCCGTCCTTGGCAGCTCTCACCAGTCAGAACTGCTCAGAATCAACTTCAGGATGCATTTGCCTGCGGTGGTTCCAGCAACACTGGACGGCAGGGGGGAGCCCCACCCCCCTCAGCCTCCACCCGGCTCAGCTCGCTTGGGTGTGTGTGTGTGGGGGGACAAAGAGGGAACAGCTGTGTTCTGGCACCCGGTATATGCGGTCCAGCTGCTCCCTCTTTCCGTCTTAGGAGGAGAAGAAAGGAGGGGCCGTGTGCAGGAGTTCCCCATGGGGTGGGGTGAGGGCAGACCTCAGCGTTGGGCTGTACTTTCTAGTTTTGTGACCTGAAGCATGTGGACTCTTCTGGGATCCAGTCACCTCAAGTGTTACCTTTGGAAGTAGAGCTGGAGGAATCGCAGAAGAGGACAGCATGTGTTTGACATCTTAGATGAAGCTAAACTGTGCTCAGACTTGTTTCCTAACACCCTCCCCCCCCCCCCGCGCACACACCCCCCCCAACCTGTACCACTCCAGTGGCCAAGCCAGCCAGGACCTACAGAGTCTCTGCTGGGCCCTTTGTGGGAGGATGGGAAACATAGTTTTTGTTGCAACTGAGCACAGTTACATAGAGCTGGATTGTATGCCTACTCAGGGACACAAGAACGAACAGTTCAAGACTGTCTCCAGTCATTTCCCTGCCTTAATCTAAAGGAGGTTTATGTATATGATGTGTGTGTGTGCGTGTGCGTGTGCGCGCACGCGTGTGTATACATATACATGAATATATAGATGTATGTATTTCCAGCTATATCTGGTTGGGTGTATGGCCTGAGTTTTTTGTTTGTTTGGTTTTTGGGTTTTTTTGGTACAGAGTTTATCTGTGTAGCCCTGGCTGGCCTGGAATTCACAGACATCCTCCTGCCTCTGCCACCCAGTATATTTTGTTTTAAATTTTTAATTCTCCCTCAGAAAGCAGCTGTAATTTAAGGCTGGATTCAGTGCAGATGGTGGCTACTATGGTTGGTTTAATGTCAACTTGCCACAAATTAAAATCATCTAAGTAGGGACCCTCTCCTGTAGAACTGCCCTGATTGCTTTAACTGACAGGAGACTCGCCAGATCAAAGGGGCGTGGCCAAGGCAGATGATCCTGTCTTTGCTGGATTGGCCGTCTCTCTGTCTCCTAATTGGTTTAATTAAATTCTTGAATTTTGATATGTTCATCCCATCCGTTCCGTTCTTCTAGAGAACTAATAGAGTATGCATGAGGTGTTTTGCAACCTTCAAAGCTGTGGGAATATGGTCCCTTCTCATGTCATTAGCTGTCCGCATCAGTATCAAAGACCTGAAGGAAGAAAAGATTAAAGATTAAAAACAGAAACATGGAGAGAGGTAAGAATGCAGATCTACAGGCAGCAGGCTTCTCTCTTACTTGCTTTGATGTGGTTCAGTAGTCACAAGCTTTTCCTACCTACCCCACCCACCCCCTGGCACCCCTCCCCCAGCCCCTGTCGGCCTGCTGCTGTATGGACACCTAGCAAAAACAGGTGAGTCTCGAGTTCCCGGTCTTGCTCAATTTCTCACCTCCACCTTGCAGGGACGCAACAGTGACAGCTATTCGAAAGATGAAGGACCTGAGGGAGAGAATCAGGATATCTTCCTCAGAATCACGCTGGAGAAATGGCCAGGCCGCACCCCAGAACTGACATTCCCCAGGTTTTCCCGGCTTCTGTAACTGGAATTTGCATATTTCCAGTGATATGGGTATTTTCCTAGATTCCTTGCTTCCTGGTGCTGTCCCCGCTCATTTAGTAAATCTACATGGCTTTTCTTTCCAAGTGGAATTTGTGGGGATGGTGGGACGGCGCAGGAGAGGAGCCGAGTTCGGTTCCCAGTGCCCGTGTCAGGGGCTCACAACCACTGTACCTCCGTCTTCAGTGGACCCAACATCTGGCCTGCACCGGCACTGCACTCGCAGACGCACACATACAATGCGTAAAAAGAAAAATAAAAAAACTATGTTAGTATACAGGTGATGCTACCGGTCTGTTCTCAGGGACCTAGCAGCTGCTTACATCACCATCTGCCTCCGACAGGTGCGCGTGCGCGAGGCGGGTGCTGCAGATTACCCCCACTCCCCCGCGCACCCATATCAGAGCTGGCTCTCAGCGCTCTCGGTGTTCTCTGTCTGTCTGTCTCTGTGTTCCTGTCTGCATGGAGATTTCTCTGGCCTCCTTTGATTCTCTGAGACCAGTAAACCCACTCGAGAGCCGTCTCCAATAAACCTGCTTTTATACTTTTAAAATTTGGCTCAATTTGGTTTATTACATCAGCCAAGAAACTTATTATCTGAGACAGAACCCTATTACTCTCTATATAGTCCTAGCTGTTCTGGAATTTACTGTGTAGATCAGGCTGACCCACAGGGATCCACCCCCACCCCCCACCCCCGGTCTCCCAAATGCTGGGATTAAAAACACCCAGCTTAAAACAAACTAATTAATTAATTAATTAATTAAAAATGGAATCTGCTTGATCCCAGCATTCCGGAGGAAGACGCAGGCAAATCTCTCTGAATTTGAAGCCAGTCTGGTCTACAGAGTTAAATCTAGGACAGCCAAGACTACACAGAGAAATCCTGTCTCATTAAAACAAAAATAAAATAAAAAATGTTTAAGAGCAAAGCATGGTGGCTTATGCTTAAAATCCCAACCTTCGAGAGAGGTGAGGACAGGAAGGTGAAGAGTTCAAGACTACTCTTGGCTCCACAGTGTTTGAGGTCAGTCTGGACTATATGAAATACTGTCTCAAAAAAAAAAAAAAAATCTGGGGCTGACGGTGTAGCTCTGTGGTAGAAAGCTTGTGAGAGAATAAGAAGAAATTGTGGGTAACTGAGAAGAGAAAGGAACATCTCAATCTAGTTAAAGGCTCTCCTGTTGGAAAAAAAAGTGCAGCATAATTAAGAACACTCGGGGGCTGGAGAGATGGCTCAGCGGTTAAGAGCACTGACTGCTCTTCCAGAGGTCCTGAGTTCAATTCCCAGCTACCACATGGCGGCTCACAACCATTTGTAATGGGATCTGATAACCTCTTCTGGTGTGTCTGAAGACAGGGACAATGTACTCAAAATATATAAAGTAAATAAATAAATCTTAAAAAAATAAAAAGACCATGTGCTGTAAAGGCTGCTGACACAGGGACAGACTTTATATAAACATATTTTCAAATAAAAATGTTAAAATCATAATAAAGCAAACTTACGCCCCATTCATATGATCTTAGGTAGATATTTTGTGGGAGTCTTCCAAGAACAACTGTTCACATTCGTTCACAGTGGAACGGATGTGACTTCCTTCACCCTGGGTTCTAGGGTGATTTTTGTTTTGGAATTTTTCATACAAGATCTTACATAGACCAGGTTGGTCTTGAACTCACTTTGTACAAAGATAGCTTTGAACTTTTTTTTTTCCAAAAGATTTACTTTTGCTTAACATGCATGATAGCTCTATCTGCATGTACACCTGCATGCTAGAAGAGGTCATCAGACCCCATTACAGATGGTTGTGAGCCACCGTGTAGCTGCTGGGGATTGAACTCAGGACCTCTGGAAGAGCAGCCAGTGCTCTTAACCAGTGAGCCATCTCTCCAGCCCACTCCCTACCCTGATCTCATATTTAACTAACAGTTAAAACCACAGTTTCAGGATGTGTGTAGTTCAGTAACAGGCCTCTTGCCTACAGGGTTTGAGACCCCAGATTTCATCCCCCCCAAAATCAGCTCCGAAACAAACTAAAATTAAAACATAAACACACACACAAAGGGTCTAGCTATCACCTGCAAAAGCCCTGGGTAATGTGACCTTCCTGTGCTTCCTGATTTAGTTTCTAATTCCTTTTAAAAGAATATTTTATGTACTTTTAAAGTATGCTCATAGTTTCTTTTGCTTCAAAAAATGTGTCATGGGGGCTAGGCAGATTAAGAGCACTGGATGCTCATGCAGAGGACCCAGGTTCAATTCCCAGCACCCACATGATGATTCACAACCATCTGTAACATTAGTTTCAGGGGATCTGATGCTCTCTGCTGTCTTACATGGGTACCAGATATGTGCATGGTGTACATACATACATGTAAACAAACAGCTGTACATATAAAAGAAATCTTTTCTTTTTAAAAAAGATTTATGCATATACACCTGCATGCCAGAAGAGGGCATCAGATCCCAGTATAGATGGGTGTGAGCCACCATATGGTTGCTGGGAATTGAACTCAGGACCTCTGGAAGAGCAGCCAGTGCTCTTAACCACTGAGCCACCTCTCTAGCCCATAAACTAAATCTTAAAATATGTATCATGATTTTTTTATGTATATAGTGTTTTGTCTGCAAGTATGTCTGCAACCCACAGGAATGTTTATGGCGGCCATAAAAAGGTATCAGATCCCCTGGGACTGGAATTTTATAGACAGTTGTGAGCCACCTTGTGGGTGCTAGGAACCAAACCCCAGGTTCTCTGGAAGAGCAGCCAGTGCCCTTAAGTGTTGAGCCATCTCTCTCTATTTCTTTCTTTTCATTTATGCATGTAAGCATTTCTATGCACCACATGCATGCAGTGCTTGCCAAGGCTAGAAGGCGTCAGCCAGACCCTCTAGAACTGGAATTGCAGATGGCTGTGAACCACGGTGTGGACACTGGGAACCAAATCTGGGTCCTCTGCAAGAACAGTTAGGTGTTCTGAACCACTGGGCCATCTCTCCAGCCCCTGGCCTCTGATTCTTGCCTCCCTCACTCTACTCCAGGCACGAAAGGCCTCCTTACTATTTCTTAACTGTGCCTCAGAGAACAGTAAGTTCTGCCTAAGGCTTTGCATGGAGGAAAAAATATTGTTGTATCCCTGTCTTTTCTGGGTTCTTTGACCAGTATATGAATTAAAACTGATCTGAAAACAGGTTGATAGTTGACACAGATTTTAATTATATAAGGACTAATGTGAGTTCTTAAAAAAGAAGTGAGGGTGTAAGCAAGCACTGATGTCTACGTGCCATCCTGACATCACACGATGGCTCACAACTATCTGTATCTCCAGTTTCAGAATAGCCACATGAGGCTTCCTGGGGTAACAGACACACAAAAAAAGTCAAGGAGAATAGATTGTCTTGCTTTGTAGAT